TTATATTTTATCATATTTAAACCGATGACATGGTTTTGGTTTACCTCCTGAACTGGAAACACAAATTAATGAAGAAGGTCAGTACTGGAAATTCATTTTGCAACGTGTTGTTGCTGTCATAACAAATCGCTGAATGTGGACTATCTTTTCAAGGAAGAAATGAAGTGTTTGAGTCCCCACAAAATGGAAATTTTGGGAGTTTACTTGAACTTGTTCCTTAGTTTGATCCATTTTTAGCAGGTCACATCTCAAAATACAATTAACACAGGAAAAGACAATCCATTGTATATATCTAAAACAATGTGTGAACGATCAATAAATTTACTAAGTGATGGAGTTCAATCAACTCTTTTCAGTGAAGTAACTCCAGAGCTCTGTATTTCAGTTTATCTGTAGATTATACTCCTTATCTTTCTCCTAAAGATCAGCTAAGCATTGTTTTAAGATACGTATCTCTAATAGGTAGAAAACCTGTCAAGTAACTTAACACATTTACTACCTTCAAAAGTCATACTGGTAAAGAAATTGTAAATCAAGTACTTCACTATTTATGTGAAGTTTGCAAAACTGATTTTTCTAAGTGCAGAGGCCAGTTCTATGACAATGCCTCCAATATGTTAGGGTGTTATAAAGGTATGCAACACTCATTTTTAATTAACCCAATAAATAGGCCATTTTCATACTGTGGGCTGGATATTCACTTCATCTTGTAGGACACAGCACAGAAATTATTATCCAGAAGCAGTTGGTATTTTTCCTACTATTCAAAGACTACACATTTTTGCTGCCTCTACTCATTGATGGGCAGTTGTTAAGACATATTTAGACAATGATCAAGTATTAAAATGCCTAACGCTTGAGAACGTTTTTGCTGTAGTAAAAAGTACAATCCTGGAATAGTACACTCAGATTCTAGATGCCTTAGAAAATACTGCTGAAGACCAGGCACAAAAAGGAGATTCAAAAAGAGAAGCTGAAAACATTGGCAACAAAACACAAACACTAGAGTATGTATTTATGTTGGTTATGTGGAATAATGTATTACAGCATTTTCATTGGACAAAGTCAAGCTCTCCAGGATTCAGAAGAAAATCTAAAGACATGCACAGATCTCTCCTAGTCATTAGCAGGGTATTTACATAAAGAGAAGATTTTGGAAAAACAACAAAACTAATACTTCCAAATACTGATTATCAAGCAGTTAACCATCACAGAAGCATTACAAAGAAACAAGTAAATGATGGAACTGTTCCAGAAGTATTGTGTGCCAAAGATGAGTTTCACATAACCATACACCACACCATCATTCACACACTTGAATCTTGCATGGAAAAAAGGGTTAAAGTGTATGAATTTCTTCCAATTACATTTTCCTTCTTAAACAATGTGGACAATCCTCGGTGAAGAATGCATGAAGGCATCCAAGAAATGAATGCAGGCTTATTCTGATGACCTGAATACAAACCTTTACAGAGAAGAGTGACAGTTTCATTCTCACATGAGAACTAAGCTTACAGATTCAGGAAAGACGAGTTTTACTCATGAAGGCTTCTACGATTCTATTATAGACGATCAAATACGTGTATTTCCCAATGTGGAAATTGCTTTATGCATATTCCTAGCTTTAACGATCACAAACTGCACAACAGAATGCTCATTTTTATCCTAAAGAGACTGAAAAACCCTCAGTTTACAATAATGATTCAAGAATTATTATTTATTGTCCTTATTATGAATGGGGGGGACCTCTGGTGGGATAATGCCTAAGGCATTTGACCACCAAGCAGGAGGCTGGCGGTTCAAACCCACCAGCCACTCCTTGGAAGGAAGATGGGGCAACCTACTTCTGTCGTGATACTGCCTCGGAAACGCAAGCAGGGGTTGCTATGAGTTGGGTCCGACTCGACAGCACACAACAACAACAACGTTTATATGTTTATCAAATGTTTTCTGAGTGTTATAAAAGATTGTTCAGGTTGTTGAGAAGTAAGACAATCCATGTTCTAGTGACACTGCAGTCTGAGAAACCTGAATAATAAGCCACTTATTATTATGTCTAAGTCTGTGTCTCTCTTTCCATAAAAGAAAGGTGGTAATACCTGGCTGATAGATCAAATGAACTAATACACGTGAAACGGTAATGTGTTTGTCTTTTCAGACAAAAATGAGCCATGACAAAGAAGATTTAGAATAAGTATTACTCCTCCAGCCTCCCTCCTCCAAAAGGATCAGTATTTTGACATAATTAACATGCTTACACAGTGGTTCATTTTGTTGTACAGTCAGAAGTAACTCTATGGCACCTAACAATAACAACAATATGCTTAGGGTTTACTCCTTAATTTAGAACGTTTTGAAGAAAACCAAGGACAACCTGAGAATGACTGAATCCATACCAGAATGACATAATTTACTGTACAATTTACATATACACTTATGAACCTAAGGAATACATAATAGAAATTTCATCCTAATTTTCAATTCCTATCATAGTGACCCCTCCTTGGGTTTCCAAGGCAGTGTCACTACAAAGTAGATTGCCCAATCTTCCTTCTGAGGACTGACTGGTGGGTTTAAACTGCCAGCCTTCTGGTTAGCAGTCAAATGCCCTAGGCACTACACCACCAGAACTCCCATTTATGAACAATTAGTGAAAACCCTTGACCAGCTGTGGTTTATCCAGTCCTCACACCTCTTTCCTGACATAGTCCAAGTTCTGCTGATCCTTTTCTGAAATTTCCACATCGTTCTTATTTGACACCTCTGCTGGGATACACTACCATGTATTGGGTGCCTTAGTACTCTTTGTGGGATATTCAGCTGGCTGTTTTTTATAGTTGCAAAAGTAAACTTTGATCAAAGCCTTCATCAACTGAAATTAAACATTACTTCTACTTCTGCTGATAAGTCTGAGGACTTATCTTGGTTCACTTGTCCCTTCCTGAAATCTGGGTGCCCACTCCTCTGCCTCATTATGGCAAATGAATGTTAAACGTGGCTTTGTTGAGTGAAAACATACTTCCAAAACTGATCTGCCCTGAACATATATCTCCCCAGCAGACACTTAAAGGACAAATGCTATTGGAAATGCTCCTTAACTGTAGTAACGCAACTTATTGACTCTCTCACACACACTACTGGGTGGGACATACATGCACCTTGGAGAAGGTCACTTCTGTGACAAAATGAAATCACTTTATTAACTTTTTGGTTTTTAGTGTTTGAACTTTTAGGTCTGTAAATCACTTCTGCTTTGACTCAAAAGTACAGTCTTGTACTTTCAAGGAAGCCTCCAGCTGGGAGATTCATAAGAAGAAAGGTGAGAAAGAAAGAGGACTGCGTTCCTCCATTAGCATCATGGCCACTTGAGCCTAAAGACAAAGAGAAAATGAAAAGCCAAGAAACTGACACAGTCCATACATGCAGCTATTTATGGCTAATGACAGTTTAACCTTACAATGCTTTGTAATGTGAAAATGTAATTTTTGTCAATCAAGTCAATAACCATAGACATCAAATTAAACTACCTTAAGTTTCCATTGGGAAAAGGTATGGCATAAATGTATCTCAGTACATGGAAATGGATTTTTAAGCCAACTGGACTACTTCCTTGGTGGTTCCTATAGGCCAGTAGACCCTTGCTGGTCTCAACCTCAATATGGTGCCACAGCTCACTCCTGGGTGTTCTCTCATCTCTCCTCTCTGCCACACCCTCACCACCCACAATGGCGCATGGTGCTCCCGGCTCTGGTCCTTATCGAAAGATTCCCTCTCTGTTCAAACCTTCATGCAGCAGAAACAGCAATTTTAACTAAGTCTTTACTTACTACAGGGAAATTTAACACTAGATAATGGGATAGAAAAGTCGTCATCGTGGAATAAATTTTTACAGTGAGTCAGTATGACCCTCAATCTTCTCCAAGACTCTTCTCAATGGATCTTAGGGCTCATCAGGCTAAAATAATGCCAGAAATGCTAAGAGAATAATAACAGAATGTTGCTGTATCTTATTACATTGTTTCTCAAGCAATGATACATCAGTTTTTAAGTGACACACTGATGAATACTTCTTTGATTTCCAAGTTTCATATGTATGTGTATGAGAATAAATTAGCATATAAAACTTCTTAGGGAATGACTACAAATCCCAAATTCCTGTAAAGAAAAATACTAAGTCAATAATTGATATGTCAAAGCTGTAAAACCCAAACCCAAACTAAACCCAATGCCACTGAGTCAATTCCAACTCATAGCAACACTACAGGACAGAGTAGAACTGCCTCAACAGGGTTTACAAGGCTGTAAATCTTTACAGAAGCAGACTGCCTCATCTTTCTCCATGGAGTGACTTTGTTGTTGTTGTTATTTGCCACTGAGTTGGCCCTGACTCATAGCGACCCCTCCTTGGGTTTCCGAGGCAGTATCACTATGGAAGTAGGATTGCCCAACCTTCCTTCCGAGTAGTGGCTGGTGGGTTTTGAACCTCCAGCCTTCTAGTTAGCAGTGCCTTAGGCACTATGCTACCAGAGCTCCTATTATGCAGTGACCAGTGGGTTCGAAATACTGACCTTTCGGTTAGCAACTGAATGCTTTAACCACTATGCCACAGGAGTTGTAAAGGAGGCACACAAATGACTGAAGGTTGAGAAATACTGTTGTTCGTATTTATTTCAAGTTTCTGTGAGTGCTTACAGCATTGTCATGATTAATCAATGTTTATACAGTTTAAAAACTTTACACCATAAAGCTTACAGGTGAGTAATTACAGGCTAATTTAACCTTAAAAAACTATCATATTTGGAACACGATTCTTAATATAATCTTGTTTATAAATTTTTTTTATGATTTATAACCCATCCTGAGGTTATAATGCACTACTAGTTCGAGGCCTCAAATTATTTGGCTTCTATGAATTTATAAACTTTCTCTCCCTGATGAATAACTTAAAAATGAATGGGATGAAAAAGTCTGATTGAAAAATTTCCTACATGAAGTCATATTCATATGACTTCTCCTTCATGACTTATGTGCTGCTGAATAAGGGAAGGACTGTGGCTTAAGGCATCCTCACATTTATTGTATTCACATAATTTCTCCCTAGTATGGATTTTCCTATGTTGATTAAGATGTGCACTCTGGCTGAAGGCTTTCTCACACTCATTACATTTATAGGGCTTCTCTCCAGTATGAGTTCGCTCATGTTGATTAAGGTGTGTCCTCTGACTGAAGGCTTTCCCACAAAAACTACATTCGTAAGGTTTCTCTCCAGTATGAAGTCTGTGATGCTCAGTAAGTGATGTTATGCGGCTAAAGGATTTACCACACTGATTGCATTTATAGGGCTTCTCTCCAGTGTGAATCCTCAGGTGTTGGGTAAAGGATGAATGCTGCCGGAAGGCTTTCCCACATTCGTTGCATATAAAGGGTTTTTCACCTGTGTGGATTCTCTGATGTTGAATAAGATGTATCCTCTGGCTGAATCTCTTCTCGCATTCATCACACTTATAGGGCTTCTCTCCTGTAAGGACTATCTGAGGTTGAGTTAGAGATGAACTGTGACTGAAGGCTTTCCCATGTTCACTGGGCTTCTCAGCAGTATAAGTATGATTAGTGAGAAGAAGATGTCGATTGAAGATTTTTCCATATTCATTATATTCATAGGGATTCGCTCTTACATAGTTTCCCTGATAGTAAATCAAATCTGACTTCCGTTTGATGCCATTTCCTTGTGTGCCAGAGTTAAGGGGTATTTTCACTGAAGGAATTCTCTGATGTATAATAAGGTTTGAATTCAGGTTATAGTTTTTCCCAGCTTTATCACATTCAAGGCTTCTCTCCTGAGTGATCTTTTTGTGAGTAAAAGATACTTGTTTCATAGGTCTCTGCTGGTTTTCTTGATTCAACACTAGCTGGTAATCAAAATCCCACAGTCCTCCTAAGATGGAGAACCAGAAACTGTCTCCTGTTAGTCTCTCCATTAACATGTCTTGTGATTGCTTTCCATCAGAAATATTCTGGTTTGGAGCTGACTTTTTGATTTCAGGTCTACTCTCCCCATCTATAAGAAATTCAGAACACACAGGTATTTTTCAGTATTCTCTATGCTTTGAAAAAGAAATTACTGCATAATGAATTACCAAATGAAACTGACAGCAGTGCACATATGGCATATGTAGCAATGGGAGTTTTCAAACATAACTGTAAAACAAGGGTAGAGACTGTGGCAGGGTGAAAAGAAGCAGTGATCAGGAGAAAACTGTAAAATGTGTGATGTTCTTAAAAGAAGGGATCATCCAGACACATCCACGGTTGAAAGGAGATGGATAGGAGAATAAGAAACATCACAGAGAGGTCTGTACTTAGAGGTGCAGACATTAGAGAAAAGGCTCTATTCAGAGAAAAAGGCACCTCAGTGATTAGGCCCATTTAAATTTATCTGTGGATTACTCTACCATAATCCTGGCCAGTTGTTTATTTAAACAATATTTTTTCCTAGCTTTAATCTTTTGTTCAAAATGGTAAAATTAATACTTGCCTAAGAGTGGAGTTCAGGTCATTCACTTCCTGGAAACAGGGCAGCTGGATCAACATGCTCATGGTACTTTGCTGGTTCCCTCCCTCCCAGATCTTCCCTCCATGAGGCAAAAAGGAAAACTCCTACTCCTGGCTGTCATACCACCGTCTACTGATACTAGGAGTGACTGTGCTGCACAGGAAAGGCTCCCTCATCATGGACAACATTCCAGTGTGTACTCAGACCTTCAACCACAGAGTGGCTTATCTACATCCCAGTAGGGTACCAGGGGTCAGGTCTAGACTGTAGGCTGAAGCAATGATTACCTTGAGATTCAAGGCATCTTTAAGGAAAACACACTGTAATTCATTCTCCCTAGCTTCTGATCTAACCTAAGTTCCTCATATGTGTCAACATGACTACAACTGCCTTCAAAAGGAGGGTGATATGTCTCATACCATATACATAAACCAATTCAAAATGTATCCAGGACCTAAATGTTGAAAAAATCATACAATTCTTAGAAGAAAATACAGGGGTGAGTCTGTGGGACCTAGTGTTTAGTAGAAGATTATCAGATGTGATAATAAAAGCCTGAGCAGAAAAAGACAAAAGAGATAGATGGGAACTCATAAAAAATTAAATATTACATACATCAAAGGACTTTTATCAACAAAGTGAAGCCTACAACTTGGGAGAACATTATCTGGAACCATATATCAGATAAGGCCCTAACACCCAAAAAGTATATAAAAGTTCTATACCTCAAAAACAAATAGGTAAATAACCCAATAAAAGTGGACATAAGACTTGGACAGTTCACAAAAGAAAATATTCAAATGGCCAATAAGCACATGAAAAGATAGCCATTGAAAAATAAAACACAAACCCGCTGCCATCAACTCAATTCTGACCCACAGCAACCCTACAGGACAGAGTAGAACTGCCTCATTGGGTTTCCAAGACTGTAATCTTTATGAAGCAAACTTTCACCTCTTTCTCCCACAGAGCAGCTAGTGGGTTCAAGCTGCCAACATTTCGGTTAGCAGCTGACTGCTTAACCACTGTACCACCAGGGCTCCTGCATTAGCCATTCCAAGCCCCAAAATCAAACCCAATGCCACTGGGTAGATTTTGATTCAGAGAAATTCTATAGGACAGAGGAGAACGGCCCCAGAGGATTTCCAAGGATGTAAATCTTAACAGAAGCAGAGAGCCACATCTTTCTCCCGCGAAGCAGCTGCTAGGTTTGAACCTCAAATCTTTCTGTTAGTAACCAAGTGCTTAACCATTGTGCCACCATGGCTCCTTATTAGCCATCATGGAGATGTAAATCAAAACCACAATGAGATATCACTTCACTTCCATTAGAATGGCAATGATAAAAAATAATGGAAGACAAAAAGTGTTGGTGAGGTTGAGGAGAAACTGGAACTCTCTTCCATTGCTGGTGGGAATGTAAAATGGTGCAGCCATTGTGGAAAACAATTTGACAGTTCCTCAAAAAGTTGAACAAATAATTACCTTATGATCTAGCAACCCCAATACTAGCTATACACTCATAAGAATGGAATGCAAACAGAAACCAGTATACCAACATTCACTGCAGTACCTTGTACAATAGCCAAAAGATGGAATTAACCAAAATGTCCATCAACAGATGAATGGATAAGCAAAATGTAGTATATACATATAATACATCAGACCCTCAATGAGATGATTGACACAGTGATTGCAATGGTGGGCTCAAACATAGCAGGGATTGTGAAGATGGTGCAGGATCAGGCAGTGTTTCTGTTGTACATGGGGTTGCTACAAGTGGGAGCCAACTCAACAGCACTTAACAACATAACAACAACATACACATAATGGAATATTATGCAGCAATAAAGAAAAATTCAGTTTTATGCATGAAAACTTTATGCTGAGTTAATATAGGAGATCCTGGATAGAGTGGGAGAACAATGTGGAACAAAACCCAAAATAATAATAACAATAAAAAAGGGACCAGGTTTGCTGGTCTGATAGAGTCTGATGGAACCACTGAGATTATAGCCCCTAGCTGCCCTTCAGGTCTGGAACTGAACCCACTTCTGTGGCTTCCAGCTAAACAAAAGACAGGCACAGGAGCTGAACATTTACGTTAGGCAGATACACTCCTTGGAGAGATCAATCATGGGAGAATAGAAGGACTGTGTGTACACAGGGAGACAGCTCGAGTGGCAGGAATGCATGGAAGCAAAGGACACAGGGAGGAGGTGGCTATAGGGAGGAAGTGGGAGGAGAGCTGGTGCACTGTGGGTGATTACAGTCAATGTCATAAGACAAAGTGTATGTGAACTGCTGTATGGAAGATGAATTTGCTCTGTACATTTTCACCCAAATCACAATAAAATTTTTAAAAAACAAACCTTTATGCTGAGCGAAATAAATTAGTCACAAATACTGCATGATCTCGCTTACACAAAATAACAAAATATATAGGCACTCTGGTGGCACAGTGCCTACGGCATCTGACTGCTCACCAGAAGGCTGGAGGTTCAAATCTGTCAGCCACTCCACGGAAGGAAGGCTGGGCAATCTACTTCTGTAAAGATTTACGGCCTCAGAAACCCAAAGAGGGTCGCTATGAAAATATATAGAAACCAGTGGTTACCAGTGGTGGGAGGGAGGAGGAAGGGGAAGTATTTTGGGGGACCACTGAGTTTATATTAATGGTGGTAGAATGTTTTGCATGAGGATAACAATAATGGTGGCAAAACCTGAAAATGTAATAAATGTCACTGAGTTACAGATATGGAAGTTGTGTTGGCAGATGTTTTGATGAGCATGTTTTCACCATAATAAAAAAAAAAAAAAAAGAGAGGGAAAAAAGTGCTGAAAGGACGATGAAGAAAGAATGGAAATAAAATGGCATGTGGAGATTTGCATCAAAGTATTTATGGTTGTTCAAACCAATACCTTCAAAACAGAGTCTGTAGTGTGTCGTTTTTTATAATAAGCATACATAATTATCTGTTCAATCAGAAAGCAGGAAGAGCCACTTCTACTTTGGAAAAAATTAAGTTTTATGCATCAATTTTAAAAAAGGTTCAGTGTCTTTAAATCCCAGAGGACGCTTTAGGGAACACAGATGCGTACCTCCAAGGTGTCTACTTCCTCACACTGAGCAGCAAATGTCCAAATGCTTCTCACCTGGATGGGTGACTGGTTGGCTCTCGCTTTCCATCATCATCCACTGTTGTTCTTGCTCCAACTGAGTGATCACCTCTGGCTTATAAAGCTGATTTCCTATTCATTGGAAAAAAATGTATGTTTTAGGGGTTTATACTGGGAACAAAAATCTCTCTCAGAATTCACTGTCAACGTTTTAATTTAGAACAACAAACAGACACAAAGCAAATCTAAACCCATTGCCATCTGGTTGATTCTGACTCACGGTGACCCCACATGCTTCATAGCAGAAGTGCCCCATTGGGTCTCCTTGGGTATAAACTTACGGAAGCAGATTGTCAGGCTTGCTTCCATGGCACCACTGAAAACAAAAAGAAACCAAACCTCCTGCCATTGAGTCGATTCTAACTCATAGTGACCCACACTGGGTATCCGAGGTGGTAAATCTTTATGGAAGTAGATTGCCCAGTCTTCCTTCCATGGATTGGCTGGTGGGTTTGAACCATCAGCCTTCTGATTAGCACTCGAATGCCTTAGGCACTGCACCCCCAGAGCTCCATTTACAGCACTGCTGGGGGTATTAAAACCACAAACCCTTCAGTCAGTGTTGAGAGCAAACTATTTCTCCGCTCAGGGGCCTGCTTTTTGGTCTTCACGATCTCTGAATTTGGAAAGGAGACACTTCAGGAACAGCAAGATAAAGCTCCCAGCTGCTTTTGAGTCAACCCCAACTCAGCAACCCCACATCTGTCAGAGGCCAACCGCGCTCCAGCGTGTTTTCCTTTTTTCATAACCTTGCTCCCTGCACACACTGCTATATTCATGGATATGTTTGCAGCCCAGAGAGGTACATATATAGAAATGTCCTATCAAACCTGTATATATTCGTAGGTGTAGTCCCATTTGTCTTCCATAGCATTTTCAATGACTGATTTTTCAGTGTACTTTGCATAAACTCGAACCTCCAACCTTTTAGTTAACAGCTAAACACAATGACTGTTTGGCTCACTGTGATGGTTAAGGTTGTATGTCAACTTGGCTGGGCCATGATTCTCTGGTTTGACAGTTTTGATGTGGTTGGCAATTATGTAATAATGTAATCACTTCCATGATGAGATTTGCTATGAGCAGCTAACCAGCTGAAAGGGAGTCTCCTCAGCGGTGTGGCCTGCATAGAATATATATGGACATTCTAGCTAAGTGCTCTAGTTTTTTGCTGGCTCAGGATCCTGAATCCAGCTCTCATCATCTGACCTCTGGTTCTTGGGACTTGAGCCAGCAGCCTGCCACCTGACCTACTGATCCTGGATTCATCAGCCTCAGCAGCCCCTGGGGTTGCTGAGTTGGGGTTGACTCAAGCAGCCTGCCATACTGCCTGCTAATCTTGGGATTGATTAGCCTCTGCAGCTTGCGAGCCAGCACCCTGCCATCTGACCTGTCAGTCTTCAGTTTGTCAGCCCCTGCAGCTACATGTGTGAGAAGAAACCTCCAGACTGATGTGTGTCTGACCCATGGACTTGGGACTTGCCAGCCTCTACAGCTATGTGAGCCATTTCTTTGAGAGAAATCAATCTCTCTCTCTCTCTCCCTGTCTCTCTCTATATGTGCAGGAGCTGTGGTGGCATAGTGATTAAAGCATTGGCTGCTAACCAAAAGGTCAGTGGTTCAAACCCACCAGCCCCTCCATGGGAGGAAGATGAGGCAGTCTGCTTCCATAAAGATTTACAGCCTTGGAAACCCTATGAAGCAGTTCTACTCTGTTCTAATAGGGTCACTATAAGTCAGAACCAACTCAATGGCAGTGGGTTTGGGTTTGGTGTATGTACCTATACAAGCTTCCCTGGTTTTGCTTCTCTAGAGAACCCAAGACAAGCACTCAGGACTTCAAAATAAACTACTCATCTCAAGTTCAATAAAGTCAAAACTTGGAGCAAAAGAGCAGGCCACAACAGTCTCTGTCTCCAACCTGATTAACATTCTCCGGCCCTGGCCCAAGCTACATTCATGAAGCCTTGGAGGTTCTGACCACTTGAGGAAATAAAGCCATGCAGACAGCTTCCAGTTTCACAGAGACACCATCCTCACCCAGGGCAACCAGATTCCTATAGTTCTCCAGCATCACGTCTCGGTACAGGTTCTTCTGAGCGGGGTACAGCTGGTCCCACTCCTCCCTGGTGAAGTCCACAGCCACGTCCTGGAATGTCAGTGATTCCTGAAACAGCAAACACATACCTGCTCAGCCAGAAACCATCTGGCAAGGGTCCTCAGGAGTAGGGGTGAAGGTGCAGTTCTGAACAAAGGTTAGGATGCCCAGAGTATTCAGGGCTCAGAGTAACTCAGGTCAGAAATTTGAAACAATGAGGTACTTGTCTCCCCATTTTCTTTTAAGATAGCTGCAATGAAAATATATGCAAAATACTCCTTGTGTTTAATAAAGCTTTTTATATTCATTATAGGGGATAGACTCTTCATTTTATTTATGGGAAGTTCATGCTCTGGTATTTCAGAAATGAGTTCAACATGTGTTGAAACAGTGAAAGCAGGTTATCAAGGAGGTGGATTTTGTGTACTTTTAGGCTTTGGACAGAAGAGAAGATAGAATATTCCAGTGGGTTTTAAAAAAAGGGGGGCAGCAGGAGCAAACACGCTGAAGACAGAAGGCTCATGATGTGTTCGTCTCAGGTTAGTATTTCTAAATTATGTTCAGAAGAGCTTTGGAGGCTTTCATAAAAAATCATATTACAGAAAACCAAAAATCCAGACCACTGCCATCTAGTCGATTCCGACTCACGGAGACCCCGTGTGCTACAGAGCAGAACTGCCCCACAGCGTTGTCTTGGCTGTCATCTTTCCAGAAGCAGATTGACAGGCCTTTCTTCCAAGGTGCCACTGGGTGCATTCAAACTGGCAACCTGAGGGCAAACTGTGCCACCCAGGGACCTTACTACTACAGTAGCGCTGTTTCATCTACTAATGTCATTCAGATTTCACCAATTGTCCTAATAATGTCCTTTATTACAAAAGAAATTCAGAGATCATGTTGTGCACTCGGCTGTCTTGTGTCTTTAGCCTTCTTTAATGTGGGACAGTTCCTGAGCCTTTCTTTGTATTTCATAACATGGGCATTTTGAAAAGTACAGTCTAGTTATTTCGTAGAATACACCTCAATTTGGGTTGGGCTGATGTTTCCTCGTGACCAGATACAAAGTATGAACTTTTGGCAGGAATAGCACAAAAGTGATGCCGAGTTCTTCTCAGTGAATCCTATCAGAAGGTACACACTGTTGACCAGTCCCATTATTGGCAATGCAACATAGACCATTTAGTTTAAATGGTATCTACCAGGAATATTTGCTGGAAAATTATCATTTTCTCCTGTGTAATTAATAAGTGTTTTCTGGGGAGATACTTTGAAGCTGCAAATACCCTGTTCTGCCTCAAACTTTCACCCACCAGTTTTAGCATCCACTGATGATTCATGCCTGAATCAGTTACAATTATGATGGCTGCCAAATGGTGCTTTTCTTATTCCATCATTCCTCGTACATGTATTAGCTGGCTTTCTACTGTGAAGAAGAGGTTTCTCTTCTCATTCATTCATTTGCATTAGTGTGGATTTATGGATTCTTACTTTATTCAATAGATTATAATCAAATTGCCCTAGATTTGGCCAGTGGGCACCCTTCAAGCCAGCCTGTGTCCTTCTGACACATCCTTACCATTCTTGGCCCACTACACCCATTTGATTTTTTGACTGCTGCTTCCATGGGCATTGATTGTGGATCCAAATAAAATGAATTCCTTGACAACGTCAATCTTTTCTCCATTTATCATGATGTAGCTTACTGGTCAAGTTGTGAGGATGTTAGTTTTCTTTATGTTGAGATGTAATCCACACTGAAGGATGTAGTCTTTGATCTTCATCAATGAATGCTTCAAGTCTTCACTTTCAGTAAGTAAGGTTGTGTCATCTACTTATCACAGGTGGTTAATGCATCTTCCTCCAATCCTGATGCTGTGTTCTTTATATAGTCCAGCTTTCTAACCCTGAGCCATACCTTTCCTGGTTTTAAACCATGCAGTATCCCCTTGCTCTGTTCAAATGACTGCCTCATCTATGCACAGGTTCCTCATGAGTGCAGTGAAGTGTCTGGAATTCCCATTCTTTGCAATGTTATCTAAAATTTGTTATGAACCACCCAGTTGAATACCTTTGCACAGTCAATAAAACAAAGATAAACATCTTTCTGGTATTCTGTGCTTTCAGCCAAGATCAATCTGACATTAGCAATGATATACCTCGTTCCACATCCTCTTCTGTATCCACCTTGAATTTCTGGCTGTTCCCTGCTAGAAAAGGTTTTGAATTATTGTCAGCAAAATTTTTTGTGTTACATTAATGATGATGTTCAACCGTTTCCTCACTCTGTTGAATTACCTTTCTTTGGAATGGACACAAATATGAATCTGTAAATTCTTGGAGCCTTGTTTATCACCAATTCCTTCACTGCAGCTCAGACTTCTTCCTTTAATACCATCGCTTATTTATCATAGGGTACTTCCTGAAATAGTTGAATGTCAACCAATTATTTTTGGTACAGTGACTCTGTGTATCTCTTCCATCTTCTTTTGATGCTTCCTGCATCTTTCAATATTTTGCCCCAAAAGATCAAACCACTGCCATTGAGTCAATTCCAATTCATAGTGACCCTACAGGACAGAGCAAAACTACCCCATAGGATTCTCAAAGCTGAAAATCTTTATGGAAGCAGATTGCCTCATCTTTGTCCTGTGGAGCAGCTGATGGGTTTGAACCACCTACCTTTTGATTAGCAGATGAATGCCTTAACCATTGCACCACCAGAGCTCCTTCATTTTGCCCATAGAAACCTCCAATATTGAAACTTGAGCCTTGAATTTTTTCTTCAGTTCTTTCAGCTTGAGAAATGCTGAGTGTGTTTTTCCCTTTTGGTTTTCTACCTCTATGTCTTTGCACATCTCATGTTAATAATTAACTCTTTCTTCTTGAACCACCCTTTGAAATCTTATGTTTAACTCTTTTACTTCATCATGTCCTCCATATGCTATAGATACCCTCTGTTCAAGAGCAAGTTTCAGAGTCTCTTCTGACATCTATTTTGGTCTGTTCTTTCTTTCCTGTCTTTTAAATGAAAGTTTACTTTTTTTCATGTATGATGTCCATCTACAACTCACCTGGTCTTCAGTCACTGGTGTTCAATGCCTCAAATCTATTCTTCAGATGGTCTCTAAATTCAGGAGGGATATACTCAAGGTCATACTTTGGCTCTTGTGAAACAGTTTGAACTTTTTTCAGCTTCAACTTCAACTTGCATATGAGCAATTAATGGTCTGTTCTACAGTCAGCCCCTGGCGTTGCTCTGACTGATGATATTGAGCTTCCTCGTTGTCTCTTCCTACAGATATAGTCGATTTGATTCCTGTGTATTCCACCAAGGGAGGTCCAAGTGTATAATTGCCATATACGTTGTTGAAAAAAGGTATCTGCAAAGAGTAAGGCATTGGTCTTGCAAAGGTCTTGCAAAATTCTATCATGTGATCTTCTGGCATCCTTTATATCACCAAGGCCACGCTTTCCAACTACCAATGCTGCTTCTTTGTTTCTTCTAGGAAGAAGTTGCTAGGTACTGTCAAGTTGGTTTTGACTCATGGCCACCCCATATATGATAGAATGAAACACCGCCTGGTCTGCACCATCCTCACAATTGTTGCCATGTTTGAGCCCATCGTCACAACCACTGTGTCATGTCCATCCACCTTGTTGATAGTCTTCCTCTTTCTCGCTGACCCTCTACTTTACCAAGCAAGATGTCCAAGACTGCTGTAATTTTTAGCCTACTGCCTGATGTATACATTTAGGACTTGCCAGCCCCAAATCACATGAGCCAATTCCTCAATCAGTCTCTGTCTATGTGCATATATATCTATAGATATTACTGGTTCTCTTTCTCTAGAGAACCCTAAGACACACCCCTCCACAACCATATCCATTTTGATGTCAAGCTATATGATTAGTTCACACTGATACTTACAATTCTAATCCAACACAGCATTTTACTCCCTTCTTGTTCCATATGTGTAATTGCCTTTCCTGCTGATGAGAAACCTGGCTCCCACTATCCACAATGTATTTACCTACTGGCTTACTCCTAGGTCAAGAAAGAGGTTTCAGTGTTGTTAACACATGCCTCTGCACTAAAGTCTACAATCTGGGGTCCGGTATTTATATTTCTTTTGTTTTCAGCTTGAGGACAGAGTTCAAATACTGTGTTCAAAAGCTGTGAGGGCTAATTTGTTGTTATTATTTCCTTCAGTGTGGTTATGTTAAGTCATTTCAAATACAGTTTGGTTCATCCATTTCGGTTTGCATTCAATTTTAGGCTCTTTTTCTCATCTCATCCTCTCAATTTCAATTTCTTATTGAGTGCATAAAACATTAACAGGGTTGGGAAAGTCAATACCATAAAATATGATATATTCAGAGAAGTATAAGCCTCCGCTCCCACCATTTCCCCCATCTTCTGCATTTCATTCCCATCCACGACCGGTTAGTAACCAGTCTCATTAATCTCAGGTTTAGTCTTCCAGTATTTTTTTCTGTTTTGCTCATATGAAGCTATGTGACCCAGCCACATAGCTTCGTATGTCTAAATGTGTGTGTGTGTGTGTGTGTATCCCAAGTCAAATTTATTGCCATTGAGTCATTTCTGACTCATAGTGACTCCCACAGGGCTTCCAAGACTGCAAATCTTTACAGAAGTAGACTGCCTCATCTTTCTTCCACAGAGTGGCTGGTGGGTTCAAGCCACTAACCTTGTGGTTAGCAGCCAAATACCTTAACCACTGTACCACCAGAGTTCTCTATCTATCTATCCCCACCTCTTCTTTCTTACACAAAAAAAAGTTACATACCATAGATACTTGTTTGCACTGATTTTTTCACCTTGCTATTTATCCTGGAAATCTCTGTGCATTATTCATAGATATCTTCCTCATTCCTTTTTACAGCTACTTGGTAAACCATTATGTGGATTTACCACTACTTATTTAACTAGTCTATTAATAAGCATATTGCCTAAGGCATGTGACTGCTAACCAGAGGCTAGTGGTTCAAACCCACCAGCCACTCCTCAGAAGGATGGTTGGCCAATCTACTTCCACAGTGATACCGTCTCGGAAACCCAAGGAGGG